CTGGCTCTTACTGTCCACCCACCCGCCTCTTCCTGCCCCTGGGCCGCGCCTCTGCTTCCTCCAGAGAGGAGCTGTGAGCAGACTCTGAACCTGTGAACGAGCCGTTCGCGGGCCAGGGGGAGAGGGTCAGTCTCTGAATTTACTGGGTTAGTCGACAGGACCTGAGAGTAAAATCTGCTTTAAAGCCATTTGGTTGGCGTGCTGCTGAAGATGAGAAAGTCACGTCTCCGGAAACCTGCCGCCCCCGCTGCCATCGGGCACAGGGCACCATGTAGGGCCCCTGCCCCCAAGGAACGGCCCCGCTGCCATCGGACACAGGACACCATGTAGGGCCCTGCCCCCAAGGGACGGCCCCGCTGCCATCGGGCACAGGGCACCATGTAGGGCCCCTGCCCCCAAGGAACGGCCCCGCTGCCATCGGACACAGGACACCATGTAGGGCCCTGCCCCCAAGGGACGGCCCCGCTGCCATCGGGCACAGGGCACCATGTAGGGCCCCTGCCCCCAAGGAACGGCCCCGCTGCCATCGGACACAGGACACCATGTAGGGCCCTGCCCCCAAGGGACGGCCCCGCTGCCATCGGGCACAGGGCACCATGTAGGGCCCCTGCCCCCAAGGAACGGCCCCGCTGCCATCGGACACAGGACACCATGTAGGGCCCTGCCCCCAAGGGACGGCCCCGCTGCCATCGGGCACAGGGCACCATGTAGGGCCCCTGCCCCCAAGGAACGGCCCCGCTGCCATCGGACACAGGACACCATGTAGGGCCCTGCCCCCAAGGGACGGCCCCGCTGCCATCGGGCACAGGGCACCATGTAGGGCCCCTGCCCCCAAGGAACGGCCCCGCTGCCATCGGACACAGGACACCATGTAGGGCCCTGCCCCCAAGGGACGGCCCCGCTGCCATCGGGCACAGGGCACCATGTAGGGCCCCTGCCCCCAAGGAACGGCCCCGCTGCCATCGGACACAGGACACCATGTAGGGCCCTGCCCCCAAGGGACGGCCCCGCTGCCATCGGGCACAGGGCACCATGTAGGGCCCCTGCCCCCAAGGAACGGCCCCGCTGCCATCGGACACAGGACACCATGTAGGGCCCTGCCCCCAAGGGACGGCCCCGCTGCCATCGGGCACAGGGCACCATGTAGGGCCCCTGCCCCCAAGGAACGGCCCCGCTGCCATCGGACACAGGACACCATGTAGGGCCCTGCCCCCAAGGGACGGCCCCGCTGCCATCGGGCACAGGGCACCATGTAGGGCCCCTGCCCCCAAGGAACGGCCCCGCTGCCATCGGACACAGGACACCATGTAGGGCCCTGCCCCCAAGGGACGGCCCCGCTGCCATCGGGCACAGGGCACCATGTAGGGCCCCTGCCCCCAAGGAACGGCCCCGCTGCCATCGGACACAGGACACCATGTAGGGCCCTGCCCCCAAGGGACGGCCCCGCTGCCATCGGGCACAGGGCACCATGTAGGGCCCCTGCCCCCAAGGAACGGCCCCGCTGCCATCGGACACAGGACACCATGTAGGGCCCTGCCCCCAAGGGACGGCCCCGCTGCCATCGGGCACAGGGCACCATGTAGGGCCCCTGCCCCCAAGGGCGCAGGCCCAGCCGGCAGCCAGGCGGGAGCCACGCCAGAGGCACACGGGGGGTAACACGAAGGGCGGGGCCCAGGCCGGCTTGTGGTGGGGTTCCCCGCCCCGGTGCACGGCAGGCAGGCTCCGGGATTCAGTCAGCCTTTGGAAATGGAGGAGGTTCCCCGCTTCCTTTATCTCCGGAGTGTAGTGGAGGGAAGGGAGGGGCAAAAGTGCAGGGATTGGGGCCTGGATCGACCCTCCTGCCGTGGTCCACTGCTGCCCCCCAGCCTCTGAGGCGGACGGTGGCCGTGTCTCCGTTCCCCGTGCCAGCTGGTTTGTTCCTCCCAGCAGCCATGAAGGGAGGAGGAGCCAGGCCGGCCGTACGGGGCAAAGACGGCGTCAGCCACAGTCCCGCATGGACCCTGGTGGCATTGGTGCCGGGGTCCGTGAGGGCACAAAGTGGCTCAGAGAGGGGCCCCCATGGTTTTGTTTCCATGGTTCCCAGCCCTGCCCTGGACACACTGGCCAGCTCCCCGGGAGCAGGCCTCCCCAGCCTCCTTCAAGCCAGTCTGTGTGTGGGCAGCCAAACGGGCCCCGAAGCGCGCGAGGCTCCTTAACCAGCCAGACTCTCCAACGGCACCTGCTTCGCTCCAAGGGGGCCCGGCGCGGAGAAGGGCTGCTGGCTGAGGCTCAGGAGGTCACGCTGAGAGGCTATTTTCTCATTCCCTGGTTCCCAAACTTTGTTCTGCCAGAAAGCCCCTGGGCGCCTGGCTGAATAACCCAGACCCCGTTCATCTCCTGCTGCAGCCGAACGCCCCGTCGGCATGACCTGAGCATGGAGGGTGCCATTTTGTTTTCCAAACGGCGTCCTTCTTGTGGCAAGAGTGCAGGACCGCACGTCCTCCATGTGCCAGCCCTAGCTCAAGGGACGACTCGGGGGCACCGGAAAGGGGGTGCGGGGTGGGGAGCTGTGAGTTTCCTGCCTTACGGGTGAGTCTCGGGGGAGTTGTTGGTGGGGCCTCAGGGGAAGAGGTGACGTGAGGACAGGGCTTTGGGGAAGAGACTGAGCAGGGGACGCGTTGGGATCTGGTGCCCCCCCACTTCTAACGAGCTTCCAGTGCTCCTGGATGGACCCCCACAAAACCCATGTGTGACAGAGTGGGGGTAGACAGGGCCCCAAAGTGGGGCCCTGGGCCTCCTCCCCCCCAAGGCCCAGGGCCCCACTTTGGGAACCATTGGTCTGGTTAAGTTGCCCAATAATTGAGACTGGAAGTTTTGTTCTGAGAGGTTGGAAACAGTTCGGTCTGATGTCTCGATTCCCAACGGTAGTTCGGTTTCAAACCTCGTCCGTTCAGAATTAAACCCCACATTTCAATCTGGCTCCTAGCTGGACTGGGAGGAACATTCACAAGGAAGAACACGGCTGCCGCATGTGGCCGCTTTTTCAGCCTGGCCCTCCCAAACCCATTCAGGATTCAAAGTTATTCTTGGATTTCTTTGCAAGAAATCCCCCCTCTTGGAAAAACTCCCGACCCCTGCATGGTGACGTTCAGGGCCTGCACGTCCCCCATGCACATTGCGCACAGGGCACAGGGGTCACTAACAGCCGCTTCCACGGTTTCACGTCCCGGCTCCCCAGGTGGAAGTGGCTGCATGAGCTCCGGGGCTGGGGAGAATTAGGCCCTCAGCGGTCAAGCTCTGAAATTCATGCGGAGTTGGGTAGCCACATGGTGTTGAATCTCTCCCCTGATTGGGTGGCATGCAGCTAGCCAATGCAGTGTGAAGAACGTCACAGATCCTCCCTCAAATATGGGCCGAGAAATATCTGAGCACGCTCAAAAGGGGGGCAGAAGCTGCCAAATCACAGCTCAGCTTTCCAAATAAAGAGTCGTGGCAAAACACAAGCACAAACCTACCAGGGGCTTGGTTAGTAACACGGCGCTTTCTCTCGCACGTTTCACCTGGAGATTTCAAAGTGCTTCCCAACCCATTACTCTCCCTTCACACAAGGGGAAACTGAGGCACAGAGACGCAATAGGGCCCAAAGTCACCCAGCAGGCCAGAGGTGGGAACAGCGCCCGCATCTGCATTACACCGCAGGGCCGACCTGCAGCTGCCTTGTGTTAGGGGCTTCTGGAGAGGGGGCTTACACAGTCTCTCGCTGGATCCTAAGAGGAGCAGAAATTCAATGGTGCTCCTTGCTGGACTGCAGCCTGACTCTCCGGGTCTCCCCGCTACGCACAGCAGGAGGCGGGGCTGGACACGTGCTTTTAACTCACTGCCCAAAGCAAACAACCATCGTGCTAATCACTGGAAAACTGCTGGGCCCGCTCACTGCACCTCGCTCGGCTTCCTTACCCCCTTTTCAATGGTATTGGTTTGGCAGATGGTCCCCTCTGCGGCAGGGATGCTGTTGGTAATGCAGCGGTTGCTTTTGCTCAAACACCATAACTCACTGCAGACTTCCTGAAAAGAGAGACGGGGGAGGAAGGGGGGAACAAGCAGAGCCAAGATTAGGAATCACTTGTGCGCGGCAGCAGCACGTTGGCGTGAATGAGACGTCCTAGCAATGGAAACGTTGCCAGCAGGGGTCACATCTGCAGAGGCGCTGAGCCCTCGCGCTGCGCACCGACGTCCGCCAGCGCTCAGCGCCGCTGGGGATCTGGCCCGAGGGCACGGCCGGGCTTTTGGACACCGCTCCTTGCGCGTGCCGAGCTGAAGTTTCAAGGATTTGCACCTGTGCTGGCAGCAGCAAAGTGGCACTAAGGCAACAAACTCTGTCCCCAGCACACGTGGCCCCGATTTCTAACCGAGGACGCCTCCCAGAAGAAGTCTGTCCAAGTGTAACCTGGTGTGTTTAGCGCCTCCCCTTCTCCCAGTCCTTCCCTTCTGGGGTTCACTCGCCGCAATGTCTCCTTCTCTGGGTCTCAGTTACGCGTGCCAGACACACGAGGAGAGGTCCTGGCCCTGGCCGTCAGCTGCTTGGTGCCATGCGGAGGGAGATCTGTGTTTACAGGACAACAGGGTCCCCCGGGAGAGATAGCGTCATGCCACGTTCCTCCTGGCCCCCGCCACGCACCCGAGGAAGTGCACTGGCCTGGGCAGGACAGAACCCAGCTGCCCTCGGACCCCAGGCTGCAGGGCTGGCCAGGGGAACAGAAATCTTTTCACACGTGAACGAGGCACCTTGGAGCTGGACTCCCTGAGAGATAAGAAACATGGGGCTGAGAGGAAGCCCCGTGCAAGTTGAAAATGAGCAGGTGTGGAAAAAGGACCCCCGCAGAACGTGGCCAGGTAACGGGCAGCACAGCTTCCCTGCTAGAAGGGCCTGTTCGATCTGTTCTGCCCGCCTGCGTCGCACAGGCCACAGCGCGTGGACCAGTCGCTCCCGCGTCCAACCCCCTCACTTGGCTTTGGCGACAGCAGTCTCCCGAGAAGCCTCCTGTCTCGGGACATGGAGAATGGACCGCTTCCCTCGGGGCTTTGTGCCGGGGGTAATCCTGACCAGGCCTTATTTCTAGTGCGAGTCTGGCGAGAACTCCCAGCCGCCAGGTCTTTGCTCTGCTGGATTCCAGCCCAGGAGGCTCTCGGCAGAGGTTGGAGCCGAGGGATAGCCATCTCCCTCCCACGGAGCCGGCTCAGCCTCCATCTCAGGCATCAGGCAAAACGACCAGGTAAGTCCGATGGGAGAGTCGTTTCGCCTGCTGATGCTGCCGGACACGGAGAGGAGCCGGCGAGGCAGCCGATGGGGAAAAGCCCCTTTGCCTCACACACAGAGCGAGGGCCGAAGCTGCTCGCAGAGATGCCACCAGCAGAGGAGCGTTCTCTGGGTCGCACCTGCAGTCGGTGGAATGTGTCCAAGGGGCTCTTTGGGCCTCTCTGGAGCAGGTGCCGGGCCAGACTCCGATCCCAGTTGCACAAGTGTAAATCCAGAGCCACTCTACCGGCTTCTGTGGCCCCCTCTGGGATTCACTCCACGAGGAGTAACAGTGAATCCGACCTAAGGACTTCGTTCGGATTAACTTTAAACTGCCGCGTGTAGCCGCGGGCAGCTAGTTCGGACTAAGGGGGATTTAAAAATGGCGGCCGGACGGGAACAGGGAAATAAAGCCCGGGATATTTACATCTCGGGCTTCAAGTGCAACTCCGGCTGCTTGATTTGCCTACCTAGCTCGGATTAACAAGCTAATTTAGACATACCCAAAGTGTCC